TTCCCCTTTGCCCAGCCAAAGCCAAGGCAGCAGGGCTGGTTAAGAGCTTTGTGTATCCCATTAGGATGATGAAGAGGTCTTTCATCAGTACGCTCCCTCCGGCATGCCGTTGACAGGAGCTTTACCTCGACAAGCCTCTCAAACACACGGCTCGGCAAGAGAAGGCACCCATCGAAGAGATCCGCAGGCGGTACACAAACTCACTTCTAAACAATCACACAAACACACACTGCGGCCTGAAAAATAAGGTTAAGCCTAGCACATTTTCTTGCCAACTTCCCTGTGCACTCTCTCGCCTCTAGAGCTCGTGTTTAAGAAAAGACAGACAATACGAGGCCGTGACGGCAGAAAAGTCTTAAGTAATTCTGACTCCGTACTTGAATCTATTTTTAATCCGTTACCAGAGGAGTAATAGGGCGAAGTCCGAGCGGGAGGCTTAGTCCAGACAAGCAAAGTCATTTTTCAGGAGTGGAGGAGCAGGAGCCATAGATGGAATGTAAGTATAGACAGGACAAAAAAAGATACCGGAACAGAGACATTGACAGAGATGGATAGAGAGAGAAGTGGAGACCGATGAGCCACAAGAACCAGGGTGACCTGGATTCTTAAGACCAGTATTGATTACCTAGGGATGGAAAGTCAAAGTGAAAAAAAACTGCAGAGAGCTGAAAGGCAGAAAAATTGAAAATATCATAGTGAAAGAAACAAAATGTACACGTCTAAAGCCGAGCAATATTGTTACTTTGCCTCAAAGGAGCACGAGTCAGTTTAATAAACAACTATGATGGACAAAATAAAGAAAAACATTGACAGGTAGGGAGGGATACAGTTTGCGTGTAGACACAAACACAGCGATGGCTGCAGCATAAGGAAGACAACATGATGGGATGAGATTTGCTCAGCTTTATCGGCAATCAGAGGAATATGTGCAACATACGAGGGTTTGCAGCTACAGAAAAACACTCATTCACTTAAACAGCATGGAGCCCCGTCTCCCCCGTAGTAGTCTGGATTATTCCACTCCGCATAGATTAACTCTCTGTAATCGCTTTGGAGAATTTTGAGATTAAAAACTGACGCCGCACAAACATTAAATAACAAAGCCCATACGATAAATTGGACTGTAGGTAGCAGATCAACTCATGGAGAATTAAAAAAAAAAAGTATTCTCAGCTTCACAAACAAAATGAAAGATCAATAATTTTTTAAAAGAATGCACATTATAGACCACCACTGTCCTCTCATACAAGGAGTTGTTGTGGTCTAACCTTTTAAAAGACATTATGCACATTCTCATACTCTGAGATCTTGAGAAACATAAGAGTGCTTAGGGCTATTCAACAAAACTACTCAGGGGCCACAGTTTCTAAAAGCCAGCAGCTCAGGGGCTGGACATCCAGCGATTAAAGTCATTATGTAAATACCGTATAACTCACAGCTTTTTGCATAAATTAGCATGCCCTGCGACTTATAGAGTTAAGCGACTTATTTATGTTTCCCCCCCCCCATATTTATAACCCAATTTTAGGCTGAGATCTGATGATTTCATTCATTTTGACATGAAAAATATTGAACACTACCATTTTCAGCCACTAGATGGCACTTGACTAATCTGGCAAGCCAAGTGTCTCATTAATAGTTAAAAGTATGAGACAACTGGCTTGCCATACAAAGCCACCTTCATCTCGCTCCAGAACTCCTGGAGCAAACGTCAAATCACCTGGGTGGTGCGGTGAAATGCAGCTGATTTGCCCATTAAAGTGCATTTATTAAGGAAAAGTTCAACTGAGACACACTTTTACTATAATTAGAGCGAACAAAAAATTGTTTTAAAGTGTTAATTGTAAGGACGGTACTTTTCTGTGGCCCAGTTTGTGTCTGTTTCCCTCGTGCTTCCTCGTTAGTTTCCATTGTTGCCACCTGCGTCTCGTCTCAGCTGTTGTCATCATGTCTCGTCTCCTCACAGTATTTAAGCAGTCCTATTCTGTCTTGTTCTTGTCGGGTCGTCTTCGTTGGTTCTCTCCCTTGGGTCTCCTGAGTCTTGTCCTGAGTCTTGTCCTGAGTCTGTCCTGAGTCTTCCTGGTCCCTCGAGTTCCCCGTGTCTCTCTTGTCGCCTGAGTTCCCCGTGCCTATTCATGTAAGTTTTGCTGCCCCGTCAGCCTGTTTATTTTGTACTTTTATTTACCATTAAATCATATTTTTGTATATCTGCCGAGTTGAGTCCCTGTTCTGCACTCTGGGTTCGCTGCTAACCTCAAACTACGACATTAATCTCGTTAAATTCTTGTTAAAGTCCTCCCGCGCATGCTTCCACGGCCACCGTTTGGCAGCCAATCGATTTTTGGCACAACACCGGCCCACGTTTCTGGGTGGTCAGTGGTGACGCATAACAAACCCGATGCATCAGCGGTGACGCATAATAGATGCAATTTATATGGCAACGTGACGTATTTATGTTTTTTTCCACTTTATTAGACATATTTGGACTAATGCGACAGTGCGGCGGCAAGTATGGTAAATCAAGTATTACAATGGTCTGTTGCCTTTTAAATTTGTTTTATTGCATTGAATCATAAATGCAATAAAAATAATCCAAACCCAGACCCTCCCCCCCCAAAATGTATATTTAATTTTTTTTTAACTCATTGGTGGGTCGGACTGAAGTCACCCGCGGACCGGAAGTGGCTCGCAGGCCGCCAGTTGAATACCTCTGGCTTAGGGTGTACGTTGGGAATGATTCTCTGCTACTACCACGCCAAATCTCAACTTAAAATGTGTACAATTTGCTGAGTTATAGCGAAGTTTACTTAGTTATCACAACCATCCTAAATGTGATTCACTATAAAAGTTATTAACTTGTAGATTTACATCCAAGGGCTATTTTCGAAGAGTTTCATTCAAATCTGTGCGCTTGTTTATGAGATATTTTGCTAAAGCTGCAAGCAGACGCAGATACAAACAAAAGCCGTTGCAAACATTTAAATTATGTCTGAAATATGGTGGGCACTTTCATCCATTATGATATATGTATTTTTCAAAAGTGCTGCTTTGGAAAATAGCAAAGCTTTTAAGGACATAAATTCTCCAGCATCACCGCAGCAAGCAGACGCTCACGACCCTCATCCATTTCTTTACTATTATATTCACACACCTAGATACTCATTCAAAAATCCCTTTAACTGAGGTGAGGGTCACCTGAAACTAAATGCTGCAAACATCTACCGGCACATTTGTTTGGTTAAATTGCAGCATACCAGCGCCTTAAATGCACATTTAGTTTCATGAACTGAAGAAATATTTCTATTGAGAGATGTCAGAGCGACAGATGACAGTATTAAGTTTATTTTCTTGCTTTTGACATCTCTTGATGCAGCTTTTGTTTGACTTCTGATCCGCAGAGCAACAACAGAGCAACTCGGACGGCGACGCTGGAAACTGTAGGAACACAACAGCTTGACCCCCACGCAGCTGGGTCATTTGTGAAGCACAAAGGCTGTCTGCAAACATAAAGGTGCGTCTGCTTTTCTCACAATTTATAATCTATTCAGCATGACTGACTTCACAAGTTCCATTTTTCACAACAATAAAAGACCGAGCTTTAACATTGTGTAGCTGTGTGATGCGTACAGACGATGCGAGGGAGAATATCTAGGCGAGTGTGGGTTTCCATCCACAATATACACCTCATAGTTTCTGTAAAGTTCTGTTAGAGGTATGAACCGATTCGGTAGAACGGTTTGGACAGTTATAATACCAGAAAACAGACTGGTCTGAATGAAATGAGACACAGTGTGTGCAGCTTTTCTGCAAACACCTTCAAAGGAAAATTCGTGCAAGACACCGTAGGTTTATCAACTCAACGGGAGAATGAAGACAGTATGTTTGAGTTTTATTTCCTTTATTAGAAGCTCTGTCGTCTAGACACCCCAGTCATCTGCTCACACCATTTTTTATACCTTTTACTGGCAAATATTACAAGACCATCAAGGTTTACCTTCACTACCTTGGAAGGGTTCGTTCTGAATTTGTGACACCACCAAGCTTTTTATTAATCCTTTACCTCATCCAAAAGTTTGAGGATTTCTAAAAATGACTTAAGGGATTTTTACTCATTCATACACAAGTTTTTTTTAAGCCTTTTTTTTTTCACAGAACAATTCCTCAATATGGCCACATTTTTAGGCCACCTCTGGATTAGAGTTGCATTTGTGCCTAAAAAATCCGACCCGGCCCAGCCCGAAGCCATTTTTTCCGAACCCAACCTGATCCGATCAAATTAATTGTAATTACAGGCCCGAACAACAACAACAAAAAAAAAGACATTGTTTTTAATTAAGATTTTACTGCTTTTGTAAGGAAATCAGTTTGACATAATATTATAAAAATATATTCAAAGGATGTAAATGGACTGTACTTATATGGCGCCTTTCTGTCTTATCAAGACACTCAAAGCGCTTTACACTACAATCTGTGCCTCATTTACCCGTTCATACAGCACTCTACTAGATCTCTACAAAGCTAATTGAACAAATCATTCTTAAGAGACCGAGTGCTTCATCACATTCATACACTGATGGGACACACATGGGAGGCAATGAGGGGTTCAGTGTCTTGCCCAGGGACACTTGGACATGTGACTGCTGGTGGATTCGAACCCCCAACTCTTGCATTGGAGGACGACTGCTCTAACCACTCAGCCACAGCTGCCCCTAGGAAGGAATATATAAGATGTTTTTGTTTCACCAAATGGATATTAAACAAAATGAATAGCTTAAAAAAAATCAACTGTAAAGATAGGCTTTTATACAGATGAACAAAAATATTTTTTAGAGCAAAAGTATTTGGAAAAATATAGAACAAGTCTATTTTAATTGAATGCACTGCTCGCGTCGGCTTTTGTAGTTCAGATGCTGCAACTTCCTTCACCACAGACGACAGCAGGTGCGGAGACGCGCGCAGCCGATGATCAGCTGATCCATCCATACGTCCATTAGCTTTACCTGCTTCTTCCTTTTCGGGTAGCAGGTGCCGCTGGTGCCCATGTCCAGCCATCACTGTGTGAAAGGTGGGATACACCCCGGACAGGTCGCAAGTCCTTTTCAAGTCCTTGTCAGGGGACGCACACGGCCGGTGACAGGTTGTTCATTTGAGCTTAACGAGACTTTTTTACGTCTTTAAATCAGCCGGTCAGACTTGCCTCCTCCTCAACAAGTAGATTAACACTATTTTATATCGTGTGTTCATATTTAGCTTTCTGTGTGCTGTATGATTCGTAAAACCGCAGAAGCCTGAGCCCACGTGCGCAATTATTGTGCAATGCGCTAGTGATCTCTTCAGTCTGCTTAACTGCTGCACTCTTCTTTCTTTCTTCATCCTCTCAACATATAAACTTCTTGCTTCCTCCTCTACAAGTAGATTAACACAACTTAATAGTGTGCATTCTTATTTTGTTTTATTTGCGCTTTATGATTTGTAAGACCGCATCAAAGCTCGAGACTGGCCCGACCCGCACATTAATCACACTATAACAGTCCGGACCGGCCCTAATCTGGGTAGTTCCGGGCTGGGTTTGGGTTAGAAATTACAGCTCTACTCTGGATGTTCGGAAGTCACAAATCAATCCAGCCACGTTCCACAACAATGTCCAGAAAATCTTAAGAAGAAAGTGCCCGTCCTAATCAGACACCCAAACCACATGAACTGAGAAGAAGCAGCTCTACTCCAAGCTCCCTCCGGATGACAGAGATCTTCATCTTATCTCCAAGGCTGACCCTACGGAGGAAGTTCATTTCAGCTGTTTGTATCCGGATCTCCAGTCAGGATCCAAACCTCATGATGGTAGGTGAGGGTTGGAACATAAACAAACCAGCAAATACAACATTTTGCATTTTGGCTCGGCTCCTTTTTCACTACAACAGACTGGAGCAACACCCTCATTCCTGTGAATGATGCACCAGAGTGACAGAGTTATGTTTTAAAATGATATTCTAACTATTTTTACTTTTTTAAGGTCTATGTTTTAAAAATACACTGGAAGTGTGTCAATGCTCACTTGAGCGTCATCACACGTTTATAAAAAGTGACATTCACACTTCTGATGATGAATTTTTGTGCTGAGGAAGCAGGAAAGGTGTTTTGCTAATGATTAATGATTTATGATAGTCTAATTTGTGCAAGCGTGGTTTCACAGCAGAGCAGTTCACCCTCACCTCTTCAGAGTGCGGCTTCTCAATGGTCTTTTGCCGTCAAACACAAAATTCAGTTTTCCCTAACAGAGGAGCTCTGTAAGAAAATAATCTACATTATTGTTACTGCGCAAGATGAACATGTAAAATACTGTTGGTGTGAGGTTTGAGAAGGTTTTGAGGGCAATAGTGGCAATATTCATGAATCTTTAAGTTATTTTTTTGTCTTAGATGTCTTAGAATTTATCAGAAGTGTGGTAAATGACACAAAAAATTGTTTAAAATCTGTAAATCTGACTGAGTAATAATAGCCACATTTTCATTTTCTAAGGTCTGTTGACAGTGGCAAGCATCTTGAACTTGGTTAACTCCAATATATATTAAGTTGAACATGTGCATCTACTCAATACTCTATGAAAGTAATCAGGACACAGATGATTCCACTAGATAACGCCAAATTTTAAACATATTTCAAGTAAGTGGTTAGTGCTTCGAGTATATCTTGGAGACAGTATTCAGCTACAAACGCACCAAATTTTAGCTCAATATATGCAAATTTGACTGAATTATAGCCGTATTTGTGTTTGCTATGGTTGCTTAGCTGTGGTGGCCATCTTGATCAGGCTTGACTCAAAAAGTTAAACAGTTATCGATGTATATCCATTGAATACTTTGAGCGTTTCACTAGACACCCATCAAGTAGTTCATGAGATATTTTGCTAACAGACTGACAGACAAACACACATGCAAAGGCACGATCGCCTAATGTTTAAAACTTAACTTCAAAGCTTGTGGGGATACGTTTATTTTCTACCTAATTAATAACATAATTCTTGACCAGTACAACCGAAACCTAGCCTGTTATTAAGATAAAAATAAAATACACTCAATTCAGCTCCTCTGCACAGAAGCTCAAGCTGCTTCCTCCCAGTGAAACATTTCTCCCTGCTGTTGAACTACTCTAAGGGTACAAGCACATTAATATACATTACACAGTCCCCAATCATTTTAATGGCTGTGGAGACACTGAAAGCAATCAGTGAAGCAAATAAGAAGCAAAGAGAGACACAACGCAGCAAAGTGGATATGATGAAGTGAAGCTACCTGTGTATTTAAGGAGTGAGAAGATGGGAAAGGGGGAAAGTTAGCTGAGCAGAAGAGGCAATTTTGGATGGCGTCAAGATTCATCATGCCGTCTTGTCTTAGACTCATCATGTTCTGAGGTGTTCCATATAACAAGGTGTGGAGATCAATAGCATCCATTTACCGAGGTGCGGCTCATCTAATCATCTGCCCACAGAGGGAGCTGCGACAGACACTGGGAGTGATGAAGTGCGCACCGGAACCAGGCCCATCTCTAACAGGTAGCACAAATGTAGCCCCCGTCCCTCCACTTCCCATCCTCCCCCGTCCAATGTCATTTTCGAGCAATAAAGGCGAGTTTCACCTTTTGTTTCTTCTCTTTCTTCTTCGCATGAACTAAATCTCACACAGACATGATTAATTTAATGGTTCCCTGCCACAATAAACAAAGCACACTACTGATGTGTGTTGCCAGAAAGTCCCAGTTTTTATCTCTTCAGTCCCAGAAATGTTAAAGTTTGTGAATTTTGACAAATTTCTTTCTGGCTTTGTGCACCAAACAAACTTGACATAAACAGAACATAAAAAAAACTAAGGTCAGAGACATTTTACTTATAATCATAGTTTCTAGCATCCTCACTGTCCACCTGATCAACCTGGGGTTGCATTTCCTCTTGCGTCCATGTCTTAGGTGGTTGGCTACAGCCCCGTGAACCACATACTTTAATATACAGTAATATGGCAGCTGTGTTGACAGGAATATGAGGCTGTTTGGAAATAGTCTTTTATAGTTTACCTTTAACATTTATTTAAAAAAAATCTTTCTGCTCCTCAGACAGCTCCTGCTTTTGTTTTCTTTGCTCCACATCCAGTGTGCACACACAACCACACCAAACTATCCAGTGGCTGTTTGCTATCTTTTAAATAGGATGAAAAGCTGCTAGAGGTTTGAAGGCACCTGTGATACTAATTAAGGTCAAACACTTGAAACATGACTAAAATGCAAAGATTAATACCGGTAGTCGCTTTAAGGTATCAACAAAACTGTTCATACTATTTTAACATATCTTTGTAAAATGAAAAATTGACATACTACAGACATGCAGAGATCCAATAGACAATTGCTTTTAACTGAATCACTTGCATTGTTTCAATGAAGGTATCAACAAATCTGTTTGCGTTCGTACGTTTGGATATTATTTGACTCATTAGGAGATCAAGGTGTGATGAGCACACACTAAAATATCAACATCACTCGGTTTTTCTCTGTCTTTAACTTATTGCTGGATTGCCTCGGGATAATGTGATAATAAGCAGTCCTTGTTCGTGTCTCCTTGCGTAATTCTTTAATTTGTCTGAATTGAGCAGAACAACTGAACAAAGAGAGACTCTGGAGGGATGGAAAGTTCAGGGCAGGTTATGCGTTTCTGCTGCGGCCTTGGGTTTGTTTTCTATTTGAGTAAAATGTGAACATTTACAATTTTATAAATAAAAAGCTTCAGTGTAATTGTTATAATCGGTGGTAGATAGGACCCAAATGCAGAGTGACGTGGAGGAGTCCAAGTAAAATGGAAAAAAATAAAATAAAAAGCAGACATGGCGGTAAACTTAAAGAAAAGAACACAAGAGCGCGAGGAAACACAAGGAGGACCAGGACACAAGGTTAAGCAAACACAATGAGCTGCTAGAGAAGTGATGGCTGGAGGCTGGTTATATAGAAAACAGAGGGAAGGAAGAAAGTGGGAACACCCGGGCTGATCGGTGGGAACACCTGGGCTGATCGGTGGGAACACCTGGGCTGATCGGTGGGAACACCTGGGCTGATCGGTGGGAACACCTGGGCTGATAGGTGGGAACACCTGGGCTGATCGGTGGGAACACCTGGGCTGATCAGTAATTAGGAATAGATAAGGGTGGCAGACTGAACAAACACTGAGGAAGCTGACTGAGGGTTAATAACAAATATCACACTGGGAAACAAAACAAGCTCTAAACCAGAATATTAAAATAGAACCTAACAACAAAATACAAAAATGGCAAAAGATCTAAACTGAACAAGATTTCACACAGAACCCAAAGGAAAAAATAAAACATAAACCACGAAAGGAATGCTAAGATGAACTAAAAGAACTACATAAAACCACAGAAAGAACAGATATGGCATTAATGTTTTCTCTTTCTGTTTAGATTTGCTTCAACTGAAAAATAAAAAGCTTTTAAAAGCTGACTTTGAATTTAGGACCTGAAGTGACTCAAAACCATTAACCCACAAGGACCTTGTCATGCTGCTTGAATCACTGAAGGCCTTGTTCTGATCAGATCCAGCTCAGAGTGGTTAATAATGCAGCAGAACTTTAATGGTTTAGATTTTAACTAGAAAATTGACTCAACTGCACATCTGTCCAGTACGCATTTTATTTTATTCTTCTCATCTAGAAGTTAATAATTTTGTGTTTTCATTTTTTTTGTCAGCCCTTTTCACTCAGTATTTCCAAACCAGCTCTGATGCACCATCATTGCACATTGGCATCACGTGAGAATACAGATGTCAGATCCATCCATCCATCGATTATCTTCCACTTGTTCCGAAGTCGGGTCACAAGGGCAGCAGCTTGAGCAGGGAGGCCCAGACGTCTCTTTCCACAGCCACCTCTTCCAGCTCTTCTAGGAGGATTCCAAGGTGTTCCCAGTCCAACTGAGAGACAGTCTCTCCAGTGTGTCCTGGGTCTTCCCCAGGGTCTCCTCCCAGTAGGACATGCCCAAAGCACCTCCCTAGGAAGGCAC